AATAAAATAAATAATTATGCTGTGATATACTTCTTTCAGTTTCAGCTCAAGAGTCAATGAGACGGAGTTCCATAGGATTGAGCAGGGGTACCATAACTCTGGTCTGGGGCTTCGTATGAAGGAGCAGGGGCCTCGTATGCAGGGGCGGGGGCGGAGTAAGCGGGAGCAGGGGCTTTGTATTCAGGAGCAGGGGCGGAGTAAGCAGGGGCTGGCTGGTAGGGCTTGGTTTCGGGGTACTGAGCCTCGCCCTCGTAGCTGACCTCGGCCACATAGCCAGTCTCGTGATCGGCCGTGTAGGAGACGATCTGAGTGCGGCCGTCGGGAAGAACGACGCGGTATTCGCCCTTGACGACGTTGCCGTCAGAGTTGGAGTTGTGGGAGTAGTCGTTGCCGCTGTAGTGGTCTACTACTCCGTACGCAAAGTCAAACGGCATTCCTTTCTGCAGGGCGAGAATCCGCTGTTGAGTGTTATTTTTTCCCTTCGTCAGAGGCCAACTATTCACTTCCTGTTATCATCTTCAGGACTCCGACTGCCCCGAGTACACCCTACCCGACTTACCTCGTACTTTGCATGAGGAGCAGAGTACTTCGGCGCAGGGGCCTCGTAGCTGTAGCCGTCACGGGGCGTGTCTGGGCGGGCAGCGGCGACGGATGCCAGGCAAGCGATGAGGACAACCTGTAAAGAGTCAGATTGTCTTTTAAAATCCTATGGAGAATCTTTCACTTCCTCTTGTAACGACTGCATTAGCAACTCATGAACCAGACCGAAGACTGTGGCAGCGGCATCACCTTTGCGTTCATGATTGCAACGTAGAGATGAATGAGTGTCGAAGCCTTTTATACCCTGCACTCACGGTCGACGTCGGGCCACGCCTACCGACCCTGCACTAGTTTCACGTGTTACTCTTGATTAGCAGTATACACACAAGACTTTATGTATGTATGTATGCACGCATGCATATCTATTAGTTCATAAATCAATATATACCCTATATGTGTGTGTATGTATGTATGTATATATACAAAAATATATACATATATGTATTCATATCATATATACATATATATGTATATATACATATACTCACATATATATGTATAAATACATATACTCACATATATCTGTATGAGTATCTATGTGCATATGTATATGTATATATATACATATGCATATACACATATTCACGTATACACGTATTTGTAGATTTATACCTATATATACATGTATATATATTTATATATATATGTATACACATACACACAATAAGTAAATAAATATATAAACATACATATATAGGGTTATGAATATACATATACGTATATATCTACATAGACATACATGTACACGCATATATCTGTATGTCTATATATGTGTATATCTATCTATATACATACATACGTATATACACATACATATATATATGTATGTATGCATATGCATACGTATATATATGCACATATATCTACACACATATATATATATATCCATATATATACACAGACATATCTATCTATCTATCGAAGTGGACCTGGGAGCAATAGTTGCTAAGAGACCCCAGGACCCCACTACCGGATGCAGTTTATACTCATACTCAGGAGTAATATATATGTATATATATATATATATATGTGTGTGTGTGTGTGTATTTGCATATTATATGTATTATATTATATATATGTATATATATATTATATGTATTAAATCATATATATGTATATATACACACATATATTTGTATATAGGACTTCATCATCATCATTGAGTACTATCTCCGGTCCGGAGGTTGGCAACCAGCTGCCTCCGACTACATCTGTCCTCTGCTTTCCCCTTTGCTTCACCAAGATTTTTGCTTTCACTCCAATCCAAAATATCACTTCCCCAAGTCCTTCTCTGTCTGCCTCTACTGCGTTTTCCATCCACTAACCCCTCAAGGACCAGATGGCTGAGTCTTCCTCCGGACCCTCTCATAATGTCATAATAATAGGACTTCACCCTATAGAAAACAATCCACTGCCTTGTGGCAAGATGAAAAAGGCTATGGGAGTCAACCTGAGCCGGAGTCCCTGATACAGTTCGTTGTCGCTTTAGACCTCGTTCGGGCAACTCTTGCGACGCCGCTAGTAAATCCATCAATTGCGTAGGGCAACAGCTTGCTCCTCACACACACGCACAAATACGCAGACACGCACACACACACACGCACACACACTCACATATGTGTATATATATACACATATATATCTTTACATATATGTACATATACTGTACATATATATTTATATATACACACACATATATACATATATATGTATATATGTATATATATATATATACTGCATATATACACACATGTTTAAATATACATATATATGTAAATAGATAGACAGATATACATACATATGGATATATATAATATATATATGTACATACATACATGCATAGACGCACACACACACACACACACACATATATATGTATACACACACACATATATCTACGTACACACACACACACACATATATATATGTAGACACACACACATATATACATATATATATCTTGAGACTTTCTTTGGTCGTTTCATAGCACTCGGGGGACTTACGGACCTGTTCTTCTGTGGGATACCTTCAAGCATGAAACTCTTGATGCATCCCAAGAATCAATTGGAGAATGCCCAAGAGCAAGACAAAATTTCATCTCGCAGGGAACACTGGAAGCCACAAATGCTTGCCGTGCGGTTCGATTGCCAGGGGATCACTTGCACCGTTCCCTGGTGCGCAGGACTAGGTCACTGCTGATAAGGAATAAGGAACAGTTTATCAGGAATCTTGCAGAGAAGGTCGAAAGCCATTTCCTAGTAAATGACCTTCGTCCTGCCTACCAAGCCCTGAGAAAGCTGAACTACTCCTTACAGACAACTGCAGTCCGCTAAGCAAGTGGCCAGATAATCTCAGATACTGATTGGGTGTGGGTGCATTGGGCTGAGTATTTTGAGCAGTTGTACCAGGTTGATCCACCAATAATTAACTTGGATACGGGTAATGTTGAGATTCCTTTGCCAGACCCACCCATCAGTGAGAATCCAACCTCCCTGACTGAAGTCAGGGAGGTGATCTCCAAGCTGAAGAGTAAAGCAGCAGGTGTTTGCGGCATCCCAGTTGAACTGTTAACGGCTGGTGGTGACCCTATGGCAAGGGGCTTGCATGATGTCCTGTCTGCCATCTGGCAGACTGGTACCATTCCCCCTGACCTGCTGAGGGGTGTGGTCATCCCTCTCTGAAGGGGAAAGGGAATCGGTGGGATTGCAGCAATCACCGAGGCATTATACTACTCAGTATAGCGGACATGTCGAGGTACCAGAGGCCGGAGCAATAGATAGATCGTATCTTGGCGTTTCGAATCCTTGTAGAATAAGGTCGTGAGTTCAGATGTAAGCTGCTCACAGCTTACATCGACCTCAAGAAGGCGTTTGATACGGTGCATCGCGAATCACTCTGGGAGATCCTGAGACTATGAGGAATTCCAACAAGGATTATTGGATTATTAGCAAACCTGTATACTGGCACTGAAAGTGCTGTAAAGTGTGGTGGGGGCCTGTCGAGCTTCTTCTCTGTTAGTTCAGGAGTGGGGCAAGGCTGTGTTTTTGCACCAACACTTTTCAACACTTGCATGGATTGGATACTGGGTAGAGCTACTGTCCAAAGTCATTGTGGAGCAACTCTGGGCAATATGAAGGTTACAGACCTTGGCTTTGCTGATGATGTTGCTATTCTATCTGAAACTCTGGAAACCGTAATGCCGGCTCTTGATGCATATAGCAGTGAAGCGAAGCCCCTGGGGCTAGAGGTCTCCTAGAGATCCAGGATTTTGGGGGCTTACTATGAGATTCTATTCAGTCGGTATGTGCTTGCGGTGAAAACTTCGAGGTCACAGAAAGCTTCATATACCTTGGTAGTGTAGTTCATGATTCCAGGCTGTCAGACCAAGTCAGTAGACGGATTGGCCTGGCAGCAGGGGTCATGAAATCTCTTAACATGAGTATTTGGAAGTGCCAGTACCTGTGCAAAAGGACCAAGCTACATGTCTTCAAGGCCCTAATGCTGCCAGTTTTACTATATGGTAGTGAAACCTGAACGCTATATTTTGCTTTGGAATCTCGTCTCGATGCCTTTTGTAACAGATACTTGCGCCCGATCATGGGGTACAGTTGGTGGGACCATGTGTCCAACCAACGGTCGCACCGTGAGAGTGATACAGGACCTGTTATCTGCACAATCCGCGATCGCCAAATCAGGCTTTATATATATATATATATATATATATATATATATATATATATATATATATATACATATATAAATACATATATATACACAAACATATCTCTATATGAATATATATGTATATATATATATGTTTGTGTGTATAGATAGATAGAATTGCACACACACGTATGTATATTTATACATACATATGTGTATGTATATATATATATATATATATATATATATATATATATATATATATATATATATGTATGTATATATGTGTGTGTGTGTGTGCGTTTGTGCTTTTATACTTGTGTACATATAAGATGATTCTGCCAAAGTCTTGAAGCTACAATAGTTTAGCCTAGTTCATTAGCTGATATATAGAATGTTAAATTATTAGCTTGTTACTATATGCACCAATGTTAAACTTCAGGAAACACTTTTAAACTGACGTTTAGTTGTGGAATTATTAATTTGATGAAAAAAATTACGAGGACAAGACAGTTTAGAGGCTGGGCTCTCAAGAGACTCCACACATGACAACCCCAAAACTAATGGTGAATTACTTATTTTGATAAGGAGCAACTTAAATTGTAATATGTTAAACGAACCACAGACACATGTCAGTGGGTCAAAAGCACTTGCGCAAATCTTGCAATTATGTATGAGCTCAAGATGTGTCATCAGTATAACTTAACCTTACATAATGGTGGTCTCCTCCCGAACTATTGAACAAAATACAACGAGAACTAGACCACTAGTTGTTTAAGCTTTCATTCGCGCTACATGGACTTCCTGGGTTGGTGTAGCTGATTTGATAAAGTCCTTTGGTGGGACTGCAGGCAGTAATGATTTCAAAGCTCGATTTCTGTGTACGACTGCAATAGGTTTCCGTGATTATCCAGGGGCGGATGATGAAACTAATAGAAGGGTATTTTTGTAAGGGTTGTCTGAATAACAGAGAGAGATATTGGTTCGACAGGACATTTCCTTTTTTGAAATGGTAGAGTGATCCCGAGGGCGTGAATTGGAGTGCTGGGGTGCAAAGGACAAATGATTAATAATACAATTTATCTAAAAGATGTTGCCTTTTTTCTTTGAATTATAAGTCTGGAAGCAGTCGAAGATTCAAGATTTCCACCACTCCCGTAGGTCACACCTCTGTTCCACACACTGACATATTACGTTTCCTTACTGTTACACATGTACTAAGGTAATGCCTTTACTCAGATTTAAGTAGCGAATACTACCATGAAAGGGGAACCAAAGGAAAATAATCATTTCGACTTTCGGGTAACATCTGGGATGTGGATATACGTCTGCAGCCAGATTCAGATTACCACTCTGAACCATCTAAGCTTCCTGGCTAGCGAATCCCGGATTAGAGTGCAAGATCTTAATACGGGTACTGAATTCACTTTAGATTTTTTCTTTTAAGATATGTCTTGACTTGTTCATTTCAGTCTACTTGCGTTTATGTATATTTTATTATAATGTAGTTTGTCTTATGATGTATTATTCTGATCTGATTTGCATTGGTTTTCACTTCATTTACTGCTTCTGTTTAAGTTTCTGTTGTTGTTTACAGTCATTTATATTGTCAGTTGTCTTTAAGACTATTTATGTCAGTTCTGTTAAAATGTAACTTTATATTAAAGATAATAATATTTTTTTTTTTTTTTTTTGCGTAATATTAGCTGATACACCCTGTTCATATATAGCGATTCTTTATTATGTTTCAGCTCATAGAAAAGTATGCATTACAAAATTGTGTTTTGAATAAATATAGAAGAAGATGGCGTTTCATTATGCTTCAATACTGATTAAGTTCATTGAATAAATATACGATGATAGAGATGATTATCCCTAATTAGTGAGATGGCACTCCATAGAGAGGTGCCGGGGTTTCGTAAACAGGGGCAGGAGTGCCATAAGTCTGGTCTGGGGCTTTGTATGCAGGAGCAGGGGCCTCGTATGCAGGGGCGGGGGCGGAGTAAGCGGGAGCAGGGGCTTTGTATGCAGGAGCAGGGGCCTCGTATGCAGGGGCGGGGGCGGAGTAAGCGGGAGCAGGGGCTTTGTATGCAGGAGCAGGGGCCTCGTATGCAGGGGCGGGGGCGGAGTAAGCGGGAGCAGGGGCTTTGTATGCAGGAGCAGGGGCCTCGTATGCAGGGGCGGGGGCGGAGTAAGCGGGAGCAGGGGCTTTGTATGCAGGAGCAGGGGCCTCGTATGCAGGGGCGGGGGCGGAGTAAGCGGGAGCAGGGGCTTTGTATGCAGGAGCAGGGGCCTCGTATGCAGGGGCGGGGGCGGAGTAAGCGGGAGCAGGGGCTTTGTATGCAGGAGCAGGGGCCTCGTATGCAGGGGCGGGGGCGGAGTAAGCGGGAGCAGGGGCTTTGTATGCAGGAGCAGGGGCCTCGTATGCAGGGGCGGGGGCGGAGTAAGCGGGAGCAGGGGCTTTGTATGCAGGAGCAGGGGCCTCGTATGCAGGGGCGGGGGCGGAGTAAGCGGGAGCAGGGGCTTTGTATGCAGGAGCAGGGGCCTCGTATGCAGGGGCGGGGGCGGAGTAAGCGGGAGCAGGGGCTTTGTATGCAGGAGCAGGGGCCTCGTATGCAGGGGCGGGGGCGGAGTAAGCGGGAGCAGGGGCTTTGTATGCAGGAGCAGGGGCCTCGTATGCAGGGGCGGGGGCGGAGTAAGCGGGAGCAGGGGCTTTGTATGCAGGAGCAGGGGCCTCGTATGCAGGGGCGGGGGCGGAGTAAGCGGGAGCAGGGGCTTTGTATGCAGGAGCAGGGGCCTCGTATGCAGGGGCGGGGGCGGAGTAAGCGGGAGCAGGGGCTTTGTATGCAGGAGCAGGGGCCTCGTATGCAGGGGCGGGGGCGGAGTAAGCGGGAGCAGGGGCTTTGTATGCAGGAGCAGGGGCCTCGTATGCAGGGGCGGGGGCGGAGTAAGCGGGAGCAGGGGCTTTGTATGCAGGAGCAGGGGCCTCGTATGCAGGGGCGGGGGCGGAGTAAGCGGGAGCAGGGGCTTTGTATGCAGGAGCAGGGGCCTCGTATGCAGGGGCGGGGGCGGAGTAAGCGGGAGCAGGGGCTTTGTATGCAGGAGCAGGGGCCTCGTATGCAGGGGCGGGGGCGGAGTAAGCGGGAGCAGGGGCTTTGTATGCAGGAGCAGGGGCGTGAATTGGAGTGCTGGGGTGCAAAGGACAAATGATTAATAATACAATTTATCTAAAAGATGTTGCCTTTTTTCTTTGAATTATAAGTCTGGAAGCAGTCGAAGATTCAAGATTTCCACCACTCCCGTAGGTCACACCTCTGTTCCACACACTGACATATTACGTTTCCTTACTGTTACACATGTACTAAGGTAATGCCTTTACTCAGATTTAAGTAGCGAATACTACCATGAAAGGGGAACCAAGGAAAATAATCATTTCGACTTTCGGGTAACATCTGGGATGTGGATATACGTCTGCAGCCAGATTCAGATTACCACTCTGAACCGTCTAAGCTTCCTGGCTAGCGAATCCCGGATTAGAGTGCAAGATCTTAATACGGGTACTGAATTCACTTTAGATTTTTTCTTTTAAGATATGTCTTGACTTGTTCATTTCAGTCTACTTGCGTTTATGTATATTTTATTATAATGTAGTTTGTCTTATGATGTATTATTCTGATCTGATTTGCATTGGTTTTCACTTCATTTACTGCTTCTGTTTAAGTTTCTGTTGTTGTTTACAGTCATTTATATTGTCAGTTGTCTTTAAGACTATTTATGTCAGTTCTGTTAAAATGTAACTTTATATTAAAGATAATAATTTTTTTTTTTTTTTTGCGTAATATTAGCTGATACACCCTGTTCATATATAGCGATTCTTTATTATGTTTCAGCTCATAGAAAAGTATGCATTACAAAATTGTGTTTTGAATAAATATAGAAGAAGATGGCGTTTCATTATGCTTCAATACTGATTAAGTTCATTGAATAAATATACGATGATAGAGATGATTATCCCTAATTAGTGAGATGGCACTCCATAGAGAGGTGCCGGGGTTTCGTAAACAGGGGCAGGAGTGCCATAAGTCTGGTCTGGGGCTTTGTATGCAGGAGCAGGGGCCTCGTATGCAGGGGCGGGGGCGGAGTAAGCGGGAGCAGGGGCTTTGTATGCAGGAGCAGGGGCGGAGTAGGCAGAGGCTGGCTGGTAGGGCTTGGTTTCGGGGTACTGAGCCTCGCCCTCGTAGCTGACCTCGGCCACATAGCCAGTCTCGTGATCGGCCGTGTAGGAGACGATCTGAGTGCGGCCGTCGGGAAGAACGACGCGGTATTCGCCCTTGACGACGTTGCCGTCAGAGTTGGAGTTGTGGGAGTAGTCGTTGCCGCTGTAGTGGTCTACTACTCCGTACGCAAAGTCAAACGGCATTCCTTTCTGCAGGGCGAGAATCCGCTGTTGAGTGTTATTTTTTCCCTTCGTCAGAGGCCAACTATTCACTTCCTGTTATCATCTTCAGGACTCCGACTGCCCCGAGTACACCCTACCCGACTTACCTCGTACTTTGCATGAGGAGCAGAGTACTTCGGCGCAGGGGCCTCGTAGCTGTAGCCGTCACGGGGCGTGTCTGGGCGGGCAGCGGCGACGGATGCCAGGCAAGCGATGAGGACAACCTGTAAAGAGTCAGATTATCTTTTAAAATCCTATGGAGAATCTTTCACTTCCTCTTGTAACGACTGCATTAGCAACTCATGAACCAGACCGAAGACTGTGGCAGCGGCATCACCTTTGCGTTCATGATTGCAACGTAGAGATGAATGAGTGTCGAAGCCTTTTATACCCCGCACTCACGGTCGACGTCGGGCCACGCCTACCGACCCTGCACTAGTTTCACGTGTTACTCTTGATTAGCAGTATACACACAAGACTTTATGTATGTACGCATACATGTCTATTAGTTCATATATCAATATATACCCTACACAATCACACATAATTGCTTCAAGGCATATACATAGATATATATGTATATATATATGTGTGTGTATATTTATATATATCTGCGCGTATGCATGTATATATACGAAAATATATACACATACGTATTCGTATCATATGTATATATACATATGTGTATATATACATATACTCACATATATGTGTATACCTGCATGAGTGTGTATATATATATATATATATATATATATATATGCATATACACATATTCACATATACATGTATTTATAGATTTATACATATACATACGTTTGTATATATATTTATATATATGTATACACATACACACAATAAATGAATAAATATATAAACATACATATATAGGGTTATAACATACACATATATATCTACATAGACATATATACACACGTATGTCTGTATGTGTATATCTATCTGTCTATGTACATACATACATACGTATATACTCACATATACATATATATATGTATGTATGCATATATATATGTATGCATATATATATATGCTATATATATGCACATCTATCTATCTATATATATATATACAGACATATCTATCTATCTATCTATATATATCGAAGTGGACCTGGGAGCAATAGTTGCTAAGAGGTAACTATATTCCACAGGACCAGGACCCCACTACCGGATGCAGTTTATACTCATACTCAGGAGTAATATATGTATATATATATGTATTTACATATTATATGTATTAGATTATATATGTATATATACATTATATGTATTATATCATATATATGTATATACACACACACATATATTTGTATATAGGACTTCACCCTATAGAAAACAATCCACTGCCTTGTGGCAAGATGAAAAAGGCTATGGGAGTCAACCTGAGCCGGAGTCCCTGATACAGTTCGTTGTCGCTTTAGACCTCGTTCGGGCAACTCTTGCGACGCCGCTAGTAAATCCATCAATTGCGTAGGGCAACAGCTTGCTCCTCACACACACGCACAAATACGGAGACACGGGCAGATATATTTATATATACACATATATATATATATATGTAGATACATTTATATACATATATATGTAAATAGATAGATATACATACATATGGATATATATAATATATACATATATATGTTCACACATACACACACACACACATATATATATATGTATGTATGTATACATACATACACACGCACACATACACACACACACACATATATGTATACACACACACACATATATACATATATATATCCTGAGACTTTCTCTGGTCGTTTCACAGCATTCGGGGGACTGACGGACCCTGTTCTTTTGTAGGACATCTTCAAACATGAAACTGTAGCTGATTTGATAAAGTCCTTTGGTGGGACTGCAGGCAGTAATGATTTCAAAGCTCGATTTCTGTGTACGACTGCAATAGGTTTCCGTGATTATCCAGGGGCGGATGATGAAACTAATAGAAGGGTATTTTTGTAAGGGTTGTCTGAATAACAGAGAGAGATATTGGTTCGACAGGACATTTCCTTTTTTGAAATGGTAGAGTGATCCCGAGGGCGTGAATTGGAGTGCTGGGGTGCAAAGGACAAATGATTAATAATACAATTTATCTAAAAGATGTTGCCTTTTTTCTTTGAATTATAAGTCTGGAAGCAGTCGAAGATTCAAGATTTCCACCACTCCCGTAGGTCACACCTCTGTTCCACACACTGACATATTACGTTTCCTTACTGTTACACATGCACTAAGGTTCCAATAGATCGTTTTCACCCACGTGACCATACGCATAGCAACAGTTGTCCGCCATTACGGTGTTCCAAATAAATGCACGTGGCTACCCAAGTACTCTTGCGCGTAGGTGCCTACCTCTAGTTTCTGACTTTCAACTTACAATTAACGTTGCTGCTCGTGTATCGAAGGCTAGTTTAGATAAGATTAGAGATAAGATAAAGGGATGGTGCTTTGCTTGGTCGTTAATTGCGGTAGAAAATTGGGAAAGCGCGGTAGAAAGAAGAAAGAGAAGGACGAAGACAGAAATAGACCTAACAGTGAAGAAAGTCCCGTCCTCTGTTTTTCTAGAGTTCCTGCCATCATTACAAATGAAGGTGAGGCTATGGAAGAGTTGACTAGAAAGAGAAGAAGGCGATGGATCTCGGCATTAAGTAGAGATGATTTGACTGAAAAGAAACTGGCAAATGATCGAGCTTGTAACCTACATTTTGTGTCTGGTAGGGCTGCCAAGAACTGGGACAGGTATAATGTTGATTGGGTACCGACATTGAGGCTTGGGCACTCGAAGAATCTGGGAAAAGATCATGTCATTGTTGAAGAAAGAGCTTTAAACTTACAACTGATAATTGCAAACATGAAGTTCAAACAAAGAGATTTAAGGAAGATGATAGCCTACAAATGCCAAGAAAGGGGGAGGAAATTGTAGCCTCAAATGAAGCAACTGATTTAGACTTCACTGTTGATCCTGGCCAATGCAATGAAGTGACGAAATTAAGTTTTGTGATGCTGCAACAAATACTAATGAACTTCAGTATTTATTCAAAAGCCTTGCCATCAAAACAACCATTTACACAAAAATGCTTTGTTAATGATGATACCAAAGTCAGGTTCTATACCAGACTGCCATCATATGATATCCTGCAGATAACTTTTGATTATGTAAATCCAGATATTGATGGGAAATCATCTACACTCTAGAACTTCCAGCAGTTCATCCTTGATGAAATTAAGGTTAAATGTACCCCATCAGGATCTTTCATACAGATCTGGTATATCAGAGCCAACAGTTTCAGATTATAGATATTTAAGAAATGGAGAGACATTCTTGATGAAAAATTAAGCCCAATTATTTCATGGCCTGAGAGGGAAGACACACTATGCCTAAGTGTTTTCAGCACTCTTTTGGTAAGAAGGTAACAGTCATCATAGACTGTTTTGAAGAATTCATTGAGAGGCCATCAAATCTTTTGGCAAGAGCATAGACATATTCACATTATAAGAGCCATAATACAATTAAAGTGCTCATTGGTATTACTCCACAGGATACTATAAGTTTTGTATCTGATGCATGGGGTGGGCGTACTTCAGACAAATTTCTGACAGATAATTGTTGAATTCTGAGGCTGCTCATACCAGGAGACTTGGCGATAGTAGACAGGGACTTCACAAGAGAAGAAAGTTTAATGTCATGTGGTGCAAAACTGGCCATCCCTGCATTTACAAGAGGTAAAGATCAACTTGACCCAAATGATGTTGAGAAACCT